GTTGTTGGTGGATATCAGCGACCAGACGTATTTGATCTCAAAGTTGATCGGTCGAGGAGGGACCCAGTGCGATTTGTTTAATATCAGAATACTGCGGATGTCACCTACCCGTCGTAAGTTACTTTAGCCTGCTGTCTCGGAATGCGCCGAAGCGATTCACAGTGCGCTCCTCGATCGCGTGCACATCTTATGCACAGGCCGGCACTACCTCGATGCGCCACAACACTTTTGCTCAGCACCACCCTGAAAGCCAGCAAGCCCATCATGGCGCAATTGTATTACAAAACCCTTCTGTCTACAGCCGCCGCAGCGGCCCGTCAATTTTGGGTTTCCTCGTCCCAATTGTACGGACCCGAGCTGACTGTCAGCAAGCTCCTGCGGGGTGAGAGTTCTCACCAAATCCTTGGGCGTGGGTTCCGATTCAGACGGCTGCAGATCGAGCAGGGGTCGCGAGCTGTCGCAATCAAAAGCTTAATATTCGGTCGGTCGTAGCTCGGGGACTCTAGAACCACATCACGTCGCACTGCAGCAAGGCTTAGGATAAATGTTCAAACACGCAACTTACTGGCATCTCTTCCGAACAACGTACGATGCGCATAGGCCACTTACCTACAACATGCCGAACATTGTTCCTGGTTGTTGCCAAATGCTTTCAAGTTGAATACTTACTACTCGTTCCGATGTCCTCGCATTGGGGAACATGAATCAGCTGGATCTATGATCAGCAGTAGGTCTGAGCGCGTTGCCGACTTTCAGAGAGAAGCGCGCATCTTGACCCTCAAACTCGAAGCTTAGCAAGTCTCTCCACAGCACACAGCTATATTGGCAAGGTACGATGCCACTTCCGCAAATCCTTCGACACGACATGACTACTCTACACCCTTACAGTCGTAGTGCTTCGAGACCAGGATCGAAGCTTGTATGCAGGTTGCGGCGTTAAGCCATCGGAGTGTCAGCAGGTCGCATTCACCTCAGTTTGAAGAATACGGATCAGGCCGAACGTCCTTGCACTTTGCGCGCGTCAGGATCAGTCAGGCACATCAAGCAGGTAGCACATTTTGCGAGAGAAAGATCCTCTTGTTGGTTGCGCAACTAATGTAGCATCTCAAAACTCTCGCCCTCATCCCAGCCCGTCCGAAGCGACGATGTTGCTCCCCTCCGTACGTGCGTAGCCTTCTGCCCATCACCACTGGTTGCCTAGCCGAACAGATCCCCAAATGCAGAACCATCATCCGAGTCCGCATCGATATCGATACCCTCCTCTCCGTTTTTCTCGTCGTTTCCATCCTCTTCAGTTGTCTTTCCATCGTCCTTAATATCGGAAGCGGTCCCGCGACCGGCTGGTATGGCCGTGGTCGCCGTGAGGATTATGTCCTTGACGTTCTTGTCCCTGAAAGCGTTGCTGAAGAGCGTGGTCCAGATGGGCTCTACGTCCTCGATGTTCGCAGCTTTGAGTAGTGCTTGCAGCTTTTCGGGGGTGATGGCGATGCCTTCGTCGGCGAGGATCAGGGCAGCGTAAGAGACGGCTTGTTCGGCCTTATTGGTGGTGGTAGACATTGAGGCGACGCGGTAGCGTGCGCGTCGATGATTGGTGTTGAGAGAAAGATTCAACAACCGGAGTAGCCGATGATGAACTTTGGTTTGCTGCCCTGGTCTGGAGAAGCGAAGTCTTTGTGTTGGTGTTGATAAGGGCCTCTCGTTAAGCTGGTCGATTTGTTATGCAACTTTGGGCGGGATGAGTTCCTCTATATGTGTGCAGAGATTCACCAGCACTTCTGAGTCACGAAATGCGCTCGTCATCTAAGACTTTGTTGGGTTGCGATTCATTGACGCGGTCATGTCGCGGGTTTTGCGATGACTACCTATTTCCTGAACAGCCAACCGCTCAAAATACCGCAGTTTCAGACGAGCTAAGACGCGCTCTTGACGGAGGGCTATGATTGGTGCGCGGAAACTATGCCTCGAACATTAACGGCACTGTTTCGACGTTGGAGTCAGCAAAAGGGCGCAGCGCCGCCCGGAACAGCGGATCGCCTCGTTGCTCCTCTGAGTCACGGCGAACACCAACATCCAAGGCCACCCGCGCATGCTTTGAAGACAAAGCAACGACGCTTACCGTGTCAATAAACGAGCTACAGCGACTCCGTAGCTCACGGTAATAAGGCGACTTATGAAGTGCGCCAACAGTTGATGTTGTTGAAGCGTGACTCTATGTCCAAGTTAAACCCAGAGGTCAAAGGTCCATGAAAGGGAGCTTGCTATATGTGCTAGCAATGGATTCGGCCTATATATCCCACTTTGTGAGTTGATGACCGTCAAGTTTGTGGTCATAGAGGCGGACTCTCCAGCTCCAGCTATCGCCTACCCCATCAACACTACACCGAGGTATGGCATCCCAACCTACACCGACGGTCATACGCATCTCAGTTTCCTTCATCGACGGTTTTGCTCTGGCGAAATGTCGAAAGTTCTAGACATAAGACACGAATTGACATCATCTGACGCTTTTAATCTTCCGATGGTACCTAGGTAGTCGGTCGAGGTGAAGGGACCGAGAGGGATAGAATTCAATCATCGCTGCTAGGCGCGAGTATCTTAGCAAGGTGAGGAAGAACTCAAGGCGCTTCCGCCGTTAGAGGTATGCCTAAAAAAGAAAGATCGCGACGGGTGAAGGTGAGTCGAAGTGACTGCCGTTTGCATGTCTTGGCATTGTTGTTGCTGCTCCCAAAATCTCTTCGCCAGCCTCTCACCAACTTACACATACGCACCTTCTACGCCGAATTACTGGAAACCAATTTGCTATATGGACGTCAAGATGCGCCCTGGACCCCCGGGTATCCCAGCCAAGGGTGAAGACTGGCAGTACGGATCTGGCGTAGCCAACGACACCGTCGATGCACACTTGATCGCAATTCAACAAGCGCAAGACTTTTGGGGGGAATGGTCGAAGAGCTCGGGCAGGGACGGCGGATCTAACGCTGCACTCGCCGACCATATCGCGCGTTTGGAAGATGTTTGGGAAGCTATAGCGACCATGTACGACGCCAAAAACTTCGACTATAGGCCCAGAGCTACAACAATGAACGCCACACTGCGCGGCCATGATCTGCGCTCCATGTGGCAAGAGCTGGCTGCCGCCCAAGCAGAGCAAGAAGAAGTCGTTGTAGTACCAGTTCAGTGGCTAGAGCAAAAGCTTCGCAGGACGGCCGCGCTTATCGGCATCCAAGTTGGTTACATGGCCAAGAAGCGCGGGGACAAAGAGAAGGAAGCTGAGGAGGGCGATATCATGGACCCTGTCTACATGTCGATATCGAAAGATGACAGGCCCCTCTACCAGGCGCGCTCAGGAATGCTGGTACGCCAGCAGGATATCGTTTGGTTTCCAAACGCAAGTGCAGCTGAGGCTGAAGATATGGCCCGGTCCCGATGGAAAGATATCAGGGTAAGCATAATGGCGTATTTACAGACATAGATCTTCCAACTTGTGCTAACTACTTCCCATCATAGGACGTGTTGACGCTGTACGAGATGTATAAGCTGACCAAGACGGAGATCGAATGGTTTGTACTGAACCATGCGACGAGAGATGTTGCTATCGCATGGGTGAAGAAGCTTTTGCCAGAACGCGGCAGCGCAGCTCAGAACACGTCTCAGCTTACCTGGAACCAACGAACCGACACCGAGGAGCTTTGGGCAGCTAAGCTGGCATCCTTACGAGAGCTTACTTCGAAAGCAAACAGCTCTACGGTAGCTTACGCAGCAGCTTATTTGGACCACTACCGAAGGCGTGCGTCTCCTTTGGAGACTATGCGCGACAGCGAAGTCGACAGTTTCCTAGTCGCATTCCTGGAAGCAAGAGTACTGCGGCCTAAAGCCGGTACGGACGATGATTTGAGGCTCAGGCCATACACGTCTCCCAACGATGTCAGTAGCTTTGCTATCAACTGGAATTCCAAGGGGAAAGGACATGATGCTTTGGGTCCCGAGGAGGAAGCTTCACGGACGGCCATTTTCAAGCTGGCAGACTTGCCAAGTCTCAAAGTCATGAGTGCGATCTGCGCTGCCCAGCCAGACCAATATGCAGACACGCTTGGTCAAGCTGATCAGCTCGGCCTTCTGAGGTCACCGTTCATTGGAGTTGATAATATCCTGAGCTTTTATTGCGCAGGTAATGCGCTCTACAACGAACACTACGCCGCTTGCATGCAGAAGCTCAATGCAATCATCGAGCTTGGAGCTCTCGGCCCAGTTCCTATTGTGATCAAAATCCCCGGTCTGTCTTCCATAAGCGACCTGATTCCAGAGTTGCGACAGCTACAGATTATGGTAGAGCGTTTCGTCGAGTCGTAAGTTTTTGTCCAAACCTGGTTCGACATGTGGTGGTTAGGCTAACATGAACCCTCTAGTTTCTGCACCAACGGCAGGAAATGCCACAACGCAGTGGTGATTCGAGGCCTACAGATCGTTGGTCACGCTATATCGGTTGTTCGTGTAGCCCAGCCGAGAGACATGCACAGGGAATTCCTGGCCTGTGCTCAGACACTGTCACGCGTGGTTCAGCTATTTCGCAAGTTTGAGGCAGAAGGCAAGCTGGATATCACTACGGCAAACTCGCGATACTCATACCACGAGCTTAGTCAACGGGATGCAGCTATGGAGCAGCAGCGAGTAGTCATGGAAGAAGGCATGTATGGGGAGTGAGCTGGGAGGAGAAAGGAAAAACGTTGACATGATGTCAACAGTTTTCTATTTGGTTGAGCTACGAATAATTCTCAAGCTACGAGCATTTTGCAAGGAAAGAAGGCTGGACATCGCCATATTTTCGTCAGCTGTAGGTAAATACTCATCGAGAAGAAACATGTTTCCATTATAAGAACAATCATCTTACTAAGTTAAGCTACGACCAGTGTGCAACGAAAGAATGCTAGCTACCGCCAAGTTTTCATTAGCTACAATCAAATACCGATCGTCTGCATCAAGAATGAAGTGCATGCTTGCATTCAGTAATCACCCAATTTCCGAGACATGATGTGGTACTGTCTCATTTCCTCCCTTTCCTCCGCCTCTGTGACTGTGACTCCTTTCAAAAATTCGGGTGTCGGCCATCGCTTGTGTAGATAATCCTCTTCGTCTTCCGGTCGCTCCTCTTCCTCGTCTTCCAACTGCTCTTCTTCATCGTCTTCTAACTGCTCTTCTTCATCGTCTTCTGATAGGTGATCTCCCTCAGTTTCCAACATCTCCCGGTTCATACTCTCATCTACCTTGATACGTTCTTCTTCCTCATGGCTGTCTTGTCGAGGTGTTCTGGCTCCGATAGCTGAGACCGAAGAAGCCGAAGGTCCAGGAGCTGGAGGCTGAGCTATTGAGGCTACAGCTGCGACCGGAACCGGGCTTTCGTCAAGCTCTAAATGACCTGAGGCCACAAGCTGATCGGTGAAGCCTGTGAAGAAGAGCTCCGCGTGTTCGTGACGATAACCTTGCCAGGCGTCAAACTAGTGAAGAGAATCAGCAAATCGTAAAAGAAGTAAGACCTTGAATGCTTACGCTGAGATTACTAGCGTTGTTCGCGATGAGTATCAGCCACCGCTTCAAAGGAGCTTCGACAGTGACAGGCAGTCCGGTCATGAGCTCCATATCCAGCTGCATACCTGCATCGTTGATGAGCTTCTGGAGGAAGAGCTGCTGAGGAACGGGAAGTTGGGCCATCTTTCAGATTTTAATGGCAGTTTCTGGGAGAATTTGGATAGAAGAGATGTTGAGAAGTGTGTAGTGTAGGTGGTTGGGTGAGAGACTGGCGGGGAGATGAGGCTTTAGAGAGGCATAGGTAGTCGCAACAGTGGCGCCATCAACAGCCGACTTGCCTTTACTTTGTTCTGGGGTGATAGAAAATTTGACGCCTCGTCAACGATCATCCAACAAGGTTTGAGAAGAACGAAATGGATTCTTTACAGTGAAGTGCCCGTCTTCGTCCTCGCCGGTCTCACTCACAGACTATGCAGTGGTGCTACTTCTCGTTGCGAAAGCTTCAAGACTAACGAGAATCCATGCCCAGCTTTACCTTCTCGACCTTCTTCCCCTCGAGTTTCCTCTACTGAAGCTCCGGATACGGTAGCTTCATCGTTCTGCGCAGCTCTCTGCGGATGATCCAGAGGGCTCCATCGCCTTGAAATAACCTAGAACTCTTTGTTTTGTGTAAAAGTAGACGCCCGAGCACTTCTTCAGATCCGTTTCTGCATGGCGTGATGTTGCGGTCGGAGGCCAGCTAGGCACGCGTGGCCTATAATGAGGTGGCGGGGGTCAAAGCTCACAATACGCGTATCGCGTATCTGGCGTATTGAGCTGCGCTACCGCAAGCTTCACTCTGCATCATCTATAAAACAACTGCTGCATGACCCGCCATGATGCATTCAAAGTACCTAAGCCGTTACCATGATCAAGACTACCGCTTACAGTATGTCATTGCTGCACTTGTACACAGGTGCAGCTGCCCTAGGCGCAAGCCTGGCCCCGTCGCATCAAACCAATCACGATCTTCCAGCCAGGAACAACAACCAACAAGCTGTTCTCAACACCCCGCTATACATTCCGAAGCCTCCAAAGCCCGAAAAAATCGACATCGTCGAACTACCTTTACCTCCAGTTTCTCCAAGCCAAGACCCTGGCGCATGTCCAAATCAGACCGGGTGCATTGCGAGAGAGCTCACTGAGAAGTTTCAAGCTGGAGACTTCACTCCGGACGGCAGGAACGTCATCGTCACGGTAACCTTCGTTGGAGCTCCCGCGGCTCCCGACCCGGCGAGCATCTACGATGGAATTCAGTTAATCCTCATCAAAGCTGATAGCTCAACCTTCAGCAACGGCGACACGTGGAAGTGCCTAACGTGTGGGGTACCGGTTGAGAACGCAAGAGAACTGGATCCACAACGGGACTATCCACATGTCTTCAGAAGCGGCGACAAAGCAATCTGGGGCCACAACATCCTCGACTGCAACGGGAAGCAGTTGGCTAGCGACGAATGTACGCCTGACAAAATCCACATCTATCCAATCCACTGGTCGGGTGGCAGTCCGCGTGAGCTGCGTATGCACCCTGACGATGTCCATATTGGTTGGAGTTCGTTCACCAACGACGCTGGGCAATATTCCTACTTCGGGCGTCTGGAGTTCAATGCGAGACCCTCAGGGTCGGGCCCTGGTGCGCCTCGCTATGACCTGGTTGATGTCGACTTGCTTGTTGATCCAAAGCGTGGAGCTTTCATAACGGCGGATGGTGAGGAGCTGAAGCTTCACCCCGACTCAATCATAATTGGCGAACTACGGGGCTTCAGTGGTTCCGGTGACGAGATACTCTACATTGGTGCGCCGACAGAGTCGACAAATATCGATCTGTATGCGGTTCACATCGAGACTGGGGTTGTTCGCCGTCTGACCAGTCACCCTGATTACGCCGATCCTATTGCCTTCTCTGCTGATGACCAGTGGTTCGTCACTCAGGATACACGTGCCAGCGAACGACAGATGTGGATGTCGGGTATGCGTGGTATTCCGCCTCTCATCGACATTGTTGCCGTTGCTGTAGCCGCATCTACACGCAACAATGGACCACGTCGCTTCTTCCAACCAATCTTAATAGATCGTTATGGGGATTGTGAGTCGTACTACGGGCAGCAGGTCAACGGGGAAGGCGATGGTAGCGAAGGAGGCTTTGACGATCCGAACTGGAACGGCCGAGCGGACCCGGCTTTCTCTTTGGACAGCACGCGTATTGTGTACTGGCAGGCCATCGTTACATCGCCAGCATGTGGTGGCACTAATCCGCTGCAGTGTCCAATCTCTACTGCGCCAGGTGAGCGTGAGTACCGTGTAATGCTCGCTCACATGGTCAATCGCAAGCCTGCGCGTCCAGTCCCAGTTTATAATGTGCCTCGTCGCATACCGTGGGCGACGCCGTTCTCATCAGGAGCCAAAATCCCTTCGCAGCTTACACTAAAGCCAGGCAACTATACACTCCATGGCAAGATCTCTGGGTTTGCGAAAGTGAAGCTCATCGGAGACACGGCACCTTCACGAGCAGACTCCATCAAGCGTGTCGCTGCCAACTACACCAACTTTTCCGATGACGGCGAGCATGTCATCGACGGCTGGGAGGACGTTGAGCTGACGGTCTCGACTCCGAATGTGTGGGACCAGAAACTTGATTGGTACTCTGACATCTCGCAGAAGGGATCTGCCACTGGAAGCAAGAGGACTGGCCCGGACGGGTTTCAATTGAGGATCGATGTAATGAAGAACATACTCGAAGCAAACGGAACGTTGACCACGACGATCGATGGCGTGGAGTATCACCAGCCGGCCAACGGCACCTAGAAAGGATCTGATTAGCTACCTGGGTATAGCTGAATTGATGAGCGGCTTCGCGTCAGCTAATCCTCCCGAGTCGCGTGTTGGTCGCGTATGTATTGAAGTCGCATCGTTGCTTGATCACCGCCATTCGCTTACTCCCATGATTGATGCGGTCTGATCTGTGACAGATGTACGTGTGAGTGGCGTGAGGATAACGCAGAGGCTGTGCTGGTCATCAGCAACAAGCAATTCCACACGAGATCGTGTTCGACATGAAGAGGCGGGGGTTTCCGGGTTATGGTGCAATCTTCGATCCTTGAAGCATGATACGGTGGCGAAAGTGTGATTGTTCCCAGCAGAGCTGCTTTTTGCCAACACGCGTAAAAAGCATAGCAGGATCACAGGCGTGTCGTACGTCGTTCTTCATCAATCGACCGGTATTAGCAGAGGGCGAGCTTGTCACGCATCTCGTGTGTCGCCTGTACCTAGGTAGGTAGCATGTTGAGCTGTTTGGCGTGACGGTGACGTGCTTAGCGGCCGGACAATTTGCCCTTGCTTAGGCTCAGGCACGTGGCCCGCTTGGCGGCGGGTACCCGCATCTTTCGCCTGCCACCACCGAGGCTTGAGTATCCGCAAGTCACACGTTTGTGAGTTGCAGCCTTTCTCAGCGATCAGTGTCCCGACTCCGACGATGGCGCGATTATCGTGGTTGTTTTGTGCGAGCGCACACCCGTCACTTACCGACGCCACCCAGTGTGTCGCAACCCAGGATAACCACACAGCGGTCACTTCCATGGCCAGCACGCATCCTCGGTGAAGCCGTCTGGACCTGCCACCTGCTTCCCCTGGAATGCCCAGATGGAAATCACCGCTTCACGATAGCGTCCGGCCAGCCAGCTTTAAACTTTGCCCCAAAGGGCTTGCTTTTCAGGGCCAGTTAATCTATCTTATCTAGTGCTGCACATCACCCAGGGCAGCTCCTCTCATTGCCCATGCATCTCTGGATCTACTTGATCCTCCCGGGCAGGTGCATCTGGAGTTTCAGCGGAGACAGGACGAAAGCAGAAGGAGATCAAGTTAGCGCCCGGCGTAATTCGCGAAGTCGACCAATCAGCGGCAGGCGACACCATGGCACCTCCGACACGTTTATGCTAGAGTATCACCTGCCGGCCATTAGGAGAAGGTCGATCGTTACACCAAAATGGAAGGAATGTATAAAAACAACGTTGTTTCACGACATACTGAAGAGCACCGGCAACTTCATTCTAACGTTACCCATATTCTTCGCCTCAAGCAGACCCAAGATGAAGTACGCTCTTGCCGCCGCTCTGATACTCCAGAGCACTACCGTACTCGGTAGCCTTCTGCCTGTTCATTTCAACGCACCTTCTCCAGCACACTTTCTCGACATCGTCAACAATGGCACATACGATCTCGGCTGCAGGCCTAAGGCGGTGCCATCGAAAGAAGGCCATTTCGAGCTCCACGCCCTGTTGACCGAGGACCAAATCGCGTACCTCTCCAAAGAGTACGAGAACCATGCAGAGATCAGCCTACACCGTCGTGACCTCAGCAAGAGGGCTGCCACTGCACCGATCGGCACTGGCGACCGTTGGTCGGGCGGTTCTGTCACACCGTCTGGTCTTGGCACCAAGGCTACGGGATCGACCATGAGCAGCATCATGAACCCCACCGAGATCAACTCTGCCATCAAAGGACTCGTCAACGGATACGGTATCAGCACCGTCACTCTGCCATACAAGACATTCAATGGCGCTACCCAAACCGCCGGATACGTTGGCGCCGGCACAGACAAGTCCAAGTACCGCCTTTATCTATCCGCTGGAATGCACGCACGCGAACGCGGAGGCCCTGATCAGCTCATCTACTGGATTTCAGATCTCCTCGCCGCGAACAAGGCTGGAAGCGGTCTGAAGTACGGTAGCAAGTCATACACAAATGCTCAAGTCAAGAGCGTCCTTGCTGCCGGTATCGTCTTCTTCCCGCTCGTCAACCCAGACGGTGTCGCATACGACCAGTCTTCCGGATCATTATGGCGTAAGAACCGCAACACGCGATCTGGCACCAGCGGCGCCTCCGTCGGTGTAGACATCAACCGCAACTTTGATTTCCTCTGGAATTTCAAGAAGTACTTCGACCCCTCCACATCCCCTGCTTCCACCTCGCCGAGCTCCGAGGCCTTTTACGGTTCAGCTGCTGCATCAGAGTCTGAGACCAAGAACCACGTCAGCATCTACGACTCATTCCCGAAGATCAGGTGGTTCATGGACATCCACTCCGCTACCGGCGACATCCTGTACAACTGGGGTGACGATGAGCTCCAGAGCACTAGCACCACCATGAACTTCCTCAACAGCGCGTATGACGGAAAGAGAGGTCGTCTCGGCGACTCCACGTACAAGGAGTACATTCCCTCGGCTGATGCGACAAACATCAAGAACGTTGCTGCCAAGACGGCGGCTGCGATGCGAGCAGTCGGTGGCCGTGACTACACATCTATGCAGTCCGTCGGTCTGTACGCCACATCCGGTGCCTCGGACGACTACGCTGCTAGCCGCACATACGCCAAGTCTGGCGCGAACAAGATCCACGGCTTCACCATGGAGTTCGGATACAGCACCAACTTCTACCCCACTCTGCCCGAGTTCAACACCAATATCCTTGACACCAACGCCGGTTTCATGGACTGGGCACTTGCCGCGATCGCCGCCGGCCTTGACTAATTAAGTTGCTTGAGTGCGTAGCGAGAGTCCGATTGCAAGAAGGGTGTTATGGCGTTTCAGACATGTATAATGTGGGGATGCGGTAGCATGAGCGGCTCAGAGGAAGTGTTCCTAGAGCGAACGGCGTTGACGAGTATACGAGGTTTGATGACAGATGATGATTCTTTCCGACGGCCGTTGTAGCACTTGTAGTAATTTTATATTGTTCTGAACCACCTGCCCACTTCCCATGATACATCACGATGAGGCGAGATGATCTCACTACCCCAACTTGAAGCCACCTCCACAACCACGCTGGAATAATCCTTCGGGATCAACGTCTCGACTAACACCCTTCAAGAATCTCAAATTCTCCTCTCCGTAGCTCTCGAATGGCTTTTGCCATGCTGCGCAGTAGTTCAAGTAGCGATACCGATGACTCGTTCCATGCTCAGTGGCAAAAGCATCAATCTGCTCGATCGCTTCTCTAGTGATAACCCTCACCACCTCATCATGTTGTTCCAACGCCCAGTTCACTGTGAATTGTACATTCACAAGCGGCTCATCAGATCCTTCGTCAAGGCCAAGCGGATTCGCATCACCCTTTCGCGCCCAAGACGGTAAACATGGCTGAAGGACAAGCGTCCAATTCATGCCCTTGATACTGTGCTCCTTAATCTTCGGTATCGCATCGCGATACGCTTTATGCGCCGCCTCCAGCGTCAGCTTGTCATTCTTGATCGTCGTAGTAGCGAACTCTTGTCGTCGCCCGGGCGGGTTCAAAACGCTGAGTTCGTCTGTCGCACCGACTAGACTACGGATCTTGAACGTACTCCACACACGTCCAATCCTATGGAACCCAGAGCTACGCCAGCATTCCGGCCAGCCTCTTTCTTTCGTGTCTGGCGCGGTGTGAACGAGGTGCACAGAGATTGCCTGGATGCCAACGGATTGGAGGTACGTGAAACATGCCAACGGGCCTGCGGCGTAGGGGTCGAAGCGTTGGTCTAGTTCACCGGCCAGTGTTTTCGAGACGGTATCATGGAATGCTGTCAGCACAGCAGGGGCTTTCCATGGAAGGAGATAAATGAATCCGCTCCATACGTTTTTCGCGGCGAAACTGCGGACTGTGAAGCTTGTCACGACGCCGAAGTTGTTTCCTCCGCCCTTGAGTGCACGCCAAAGATCAGGTTGATCTGTCTCCGAGGCTGTTACAATCCGTCCATCCGCTAACACGACCTCGTATTCAAGGACGTTGCTGCACACAAACCCGTATTGCGGCGAGAAGAACGAGAGACCACCGCCAAGCGTAAGACCAGACACACCAACAGCAGAATTCCTCCCACCAGCAACCGCAAGCCCCTCTTTCTCGAGTTCTGAGTACACATCAATCCACTTGCAGCCCGCGCCAATGACCACGCTCCGTCCATCTTCAGCAGGAACGACTTGTTTAAAGAGCGACAAGTCGATAAGCACCCCACCTTTAATGCTCGATGCACCAGCAACAGCAGAATGACCACCCCCTCGAACCGCAAAAATCGATTCCACCTCTTCTCCCGTTTGCTTCGCTCGCTCAACCCTCAGATCGAACTCGCGTTTGAGAATCTTGACCGCTTGCGCTAGCTCCCACACATTGCGGGGTCGTACGACACATGCGGGCGGCACCTCGCACGCTTTCTGGTCCCAATACGCGCTCATCGACTCTTTGAATTCCGCTGCTTTCTCCGGAGTGATGACGATGTGCGGAATGGCTGCGACAAGCTTGGCTTTCAGTTGCCGTCCGGATGCTGTGAGGCCATCGTCGAGCCTGAGACGGCCAGGTTTCTCGGCTTCTGCATCGCGCTCGAGTTGGGATGAGCGGACGCTGAGGCGTTGTCTGATGTATACTGTGGCGAGAAGGATGGCTATGCATGTGTAGGATAGCCATGATAGGGCCATTGTTGAGTTGGGGGTTAGGGAGGCTGCAGGTGGCGCCTAAACTGCGGGCAAACGGCCAATAAAGCTGGGTTTTGACAACTTGTCGACAGCAATATTGAAGAATGCGTGATGGTAGTGTTTAGAGAGCATCAAGATATACAATAATCGAGGCGGGGTACGGAGGATTCGGCATGGCATATGCAGTGAGATCTGGTTTCACATAGCGATGACATAATCACTTGGCGTCAGCGGGCCTGATCGGTGATTACACAATACATCGCCCGATTCAATGCATACATGCGATGATGCTCTGATAGGTAGAACATCCTTGGATTGTTATCTGCTCGAGCCTTCAGAATGCAAATAAATTGTGGCAAGCGTCTGTAAGGGTGTATAACGGGACCCGAAAGCTGTCATCGCCTAACAGCGCTACCTATCAACAGCCATGTCTCGCCGCGCTTGCTTGTGATAATGAGAAGCTTGGTGCCTAAGAAGCTGACTCAAGCTTCGTTCCATTGATACTCCTTAGCACGCGTGCTCCGAGGAAGGAACTTTAGTCAAGCCTCTTGGTGCATGCTATCATAGCGCTCGGCGCTGCGCAGGCACTTCGACATCCAAGCCGTGGCAGCCCTTCTGGGCCGCTGTAATGTTCTAGCTCCATTTTGTCCGCGAGGAACTTCTGGTAAGTCTGTAGCGGTTGCGACGATCTTGATTGTATAACAGGTCGTGATTGCGCTAAGCATGGATTTTCGTATGATGAGCCTGGGAACTCAACCTGCTGTTGGCGGGCGAATAGATAGCTAAGCCCTCATATGTCGATATCAGGGTACCACTTCTTCACCCACTGGTCAAGAACCTTGGGTCCTACCGGCTTCGTCAGGAACTCGTCGGCGCCGGCGTCGTCTGCAGCCTTGCGGTCGTTCGAAGAGTCTTGACCAGTGACGATGAACAAGACGCTTGGTTCGTATCCATGCTGCTTCTCTAGCCGTCGTATCTGTCGTGTCGCGTCGATGCCATCACAGACAGGCATCTGCAGATCCATGAGGATAAGTCCGAAGGGTTGGACGGGTAGGTTTTGTCGTAGTAGAGGGTCGTATTTGGGTACAAGAGCTTCGGTAAAGAGGTTGACAGCCTGCTGCCCATCCTTTGCACTCCGAAACGGGATACCACGACGACTGCAGTACATCTCCAATAGACGAAGGTTGACAGCATTGTCATCAACAAGGAGTGTCAAGGGTTTACTCGATGTTGAGGTCTCCTTTACGGACGGTGGAGCTTTGGTTTGGATGCGCAAGGTCCGTACCGACTGGACTAGTTCATTCTGAAGCTTGTCGGGGAAGATGGAACCTCGCTCGGATGGGAGTTTGGGGCGCTCGTTCGAGTCGCGCGCAGGATCTTGTTTGACTGGTTCGATGACGACCCCACCAGTTGTACACAGCTCAGTCTCCAAAGCAGATGCGCGGAATTCGGCCGAAATTGCATCCGCATGCTTCAATGCTTGTTCAAATGTTTCCGACAAGAAAGGTCCTTGAACGTATACAACATTTCCTTGCCGCCGAACGCGCTCCGTATGGAAGTCAAGAAAGCATGCACATTCTGGAACGAGGCATATCGCGACTTGGTCTGCATCAATGTTCGACGTGTGTCGGTAGAGCTCCGCCAGATTCGGTGTATAGTCGACGACTACGAAAGCGCCCTTCGGTGTGTTTGATGCTGTCCAGCCAGCACTTGAAAGATACTGAGTGAAGTAATCGCCCAAAGACGACGTCGCTGACTTGGACGTGAGATGATGGAAGGTTTGCGGAAGCTCACTGAACCTATCCTTCACTGCACGGAACGCTGGCAATGAGCTGGCGCAGACGGGCTCATTGAACGTCGCTCTGATATGTGAGCCTGCACCATGGGGCGAAGTCACCATTGTAATCTCGCCACCCAAGAGTGTCGCCGCTTTACTTGCCAACGTCAAACCCAAAGCAGACTCGGTACCACTGAGATCGATTTGTTCGTGTGCATCAAACACGCGATCGTAATTCCCTTTGGGTGTCTTTCGCCCGCTGTGTTCGACATCGACGACGAGGGACTGGCAATCCTCCTGGACTGACAGAGTCACTGCTACCATACCGCCAGCGGCATTTTGAGCAGCGTTGACCATCAGCGGCTGGATGCAGTCCAGAAATACCCGCTTGTCGATAGCAAGCAAGTCGCAGCTTGGTGGTAGATGATGTTGTATTATAATCGATGGTCGCGTGGATAGGTCGTCCGATAGTCCTAGCAGGGTTTCCTTCAGCAAAGCATCTTCAATCTCAGAGACTGTATGCATTGTGAGAACGCGTTCCGCCTGCGCAATGTCTGCCCACTGATTCAACTTGATGAGGCTGTTCACCGTTGAGATCAGCTCTCTTGCCGAAGTCTTGATGGTCTTGATATAGGTGTATGGGTCCAATTGCTCGATGTCTGGGCTGGCAGTGGGTGACGAGGCAGCCGTCGAAGGGACCACGTTTCGAGATTTCAGCTCCTCAGTCAGAAGCTCAACAGAGCCAAGAATGCCATGTATAGGGGTTCGAAGCTGATGCGTAATGCCGCGAAGGAACGTTTCCTTAGCGCTGAGCGCCTCCTGGAGTGCACGACCTTGCCAATATCGACATAGTATTGTCTATAGGTCACAAAGTGTCAGCATAGTTCCCAAGGACGAGTTCGACAATGCTTACGGCACACATATGGACGAACCAAGAATCTATGTCGTCAAAAACCATCTTGAGGTCGTTACTGGCTACCACAAGAAACATTGCTGCACGCTGACTGGTGCACTGTGCCGCGATAGCCCGTACAGGCCGAGGCGCAGTCATGTCCAAATGATTGAGATTCTCGATGGCGTAGTCAAAATCTGCGAAAGTCAGCATATGTCACATTCATATCAATCATAATGACTCACAGGCTGTATCTTCCCAAAGGCCTTGCTCCAGCTCTGAGGTGCGAAACCTCGTACCACCAGGAAAGGTTATGTGGCTGTCCGTGGTCTGATGAATTCTCACCTGCGTATTGAGATAAACATCCTCGAGCATTCTGGGGATCACTTCCTCCATATTGTGGTGGTTGTCGCATTGCTGCTGGGCTTCAGAGAGCAGTTCAAGCATTCGCCTACGTTCCTTCTGACGGCGAGCTCTTGCACTGTGCACTATATCCGTAACAATCCAGTCAGCAAGCCTGGCAAGAGCCTGCTGTACTGATGGCGAGAGCGGCTCTTGTGGAGAATTAGAAGCGACACAAAGGGATCCAAAAGCCACGTGCTCTCCGAATTCAGTGTCAAATCTCAACGGTACACCGGCATAGGCGCGCAAGCCACCCAGTTCAACATGCGGTGACTTCTCGAAACGCCAATCTTCGGCCATGTTCTGCATCGCAAAGACAGTCTGTAGGTGTCAGTGGTGGCCCAAGCAACGATGAGTGTCCACTTACTCCTGGCGGCTGATTGATGGTGTGAGCGCAAGTACTTTCGCGACGGGGTAATATCGCAAGAGGAAGGTTCACAGTGACCATTCGTGTGTAAGTGCTATGATTCAGCAGTCCAGCAATAACAAACTCCCATCCTACTGTCTCATGCGCGAGATGGACCTTTTCCTGTAGGCGAGACATTAGCTCTACATCTTCAAGCGCCCCGCGAGTATAGTAGTAAAGCAATGTCAGCCTCAGCCTCTCGTTCCGCGTCAAGACTGGGAAGAGATAGCGATCCGCAGTGCACTGAGGTGGACATAATGTTTTGGCAGGTATTGGTGCTGGTGTCCAGATGTCGCCATCGCTGGGATACACAGACGTGACTTGTTCCGCAGTCCATGGCTCAAGGGGTTTGTCGGCATTCTCAAGATCAAGTATTGGCGCGGTGGTGGTCGGGCGCTCGGACGAGGCCGGCGCAGCATGCCTCGATGCGAGGACGGCCGCATCTGCCTTCGGGAAGAAAGCAACGCGCTGGCCGCCCATGAGATGCATCGAGATATCTGTATGTCGGATTACTGCCCAGCATTGGGAGCAGAGGTTGCGCAGAGTGCTTTGCAGAGGTGTGATACACGGCGGGAGCTAAGAGCTGTCAGAGGGGCGCGCCGGGTGTAACGTTCCAGACTGGTCCAAATGCTCGATCGTGAGGATCGTGGCGACGGCGAAGGATTAGAACTGCAGCGGCGATCGCGACAACCGACAGTACCTGGAAGAAGCACTGCTTTGGCGAGGATGAGTTGTTTGCATCTGTTTGTCGTGTTCAGCTCGGAAAACTGCTAGTCGCAATGTATCCCGGCCTGGCGCCTTCCTCCGGGCCGAAGCAATCGGTCGATGAGATGCCTTAGCTTCATTTTCAGAATTCATTGTCAGAGTGTTTGCTCAGCACGCAAGCAAACGCCTTTGGACTGTCGCTGCTTGGAAACGCGCTGCGATCGGTTGAGCATAGTGGAAGTGGCAAAGCTCGTGAAGAAAGCATGGGAGGCGGGGCGACAGAGCTTCCGACGCGTCCCATTGGCTGCGATCTGGCCCACTAATTTCCCAAACCTCACGTCCTCCGGCAGATGTCTACTTCATTTCTTCACAACGCCGCGCCTCGTCTTTTCACGTTCGAACTGCCGTTTTGAGGAGCCAAGATGTCACTTCTAAATCGCCAGGGCCCCTCCATCATGGATGACTAGCTCGTTATAGCCTGATGGACGTTGCGGCCAAGATGACCTGCGCGCATGTTGAACGCCATCCGAAACAACCCCCTAGAGCCGGATGTCATCCCCTGGTCATGTTAACCTCCAGCAAAGGCGTTCATGGACTCGTAGAAGGCTCCATAGGCCTTGAATGCACACCATAGGCCAGTCTTCGTCTGCTCTAACACGGCCAGCTATTCATGTTGTACACGACACCTCAAAATTGGCGACATGGCAGGGCAAAGAACGCGGCGTGGTAGTGTCGCTACTCGAACACTATGAACACCGGAGCTCTCACAAGGTAGTATGTGCGGTCACCACTGCCTGTCCTCTGTATTTTCTATCAAACACCTGATGATGTTGTCGACTCCGTAGTCCGGGGCCTCATGTTTGCAGTATCGTCGACTACATGGCCTTACACATAGTCGCTATATTGGAAAACAGAGGCCGGTCTTCACTTTCACTTTCACTTCATTGCGCACATACCACCATACACTCGGCGGTCGCTCTGCCCGCTCTTATTGTTGAGCATAGAACAATAGGCTCCCACATCAACCACTTACAGTTCATCGCAACTTGCAACTTCGCCTAGATTCACGCAAATACTCCGCCTCTCGTTTCCCATTTCCCGCAGCCTGATACTACACCCAAAAGGCTCGCTACAGAACCAACCTGCAGTTCATTTCAGCGACCTTGTCACAACTCTCCCCTTCAAAGCGCCACCATGTCGTCTCAACTGAACGACTCGTCTCGCACTACGGATCCCGCCTCTGCCCATCCAGATATCACAAGCGTTTCCATGGCTAGCTTCACTCCGAAGCCGCTCCGCACAAGAAAGAAATTCTACGACCCCCGTCTGACTGCGGGAATGCGCCCACCCGACACAGACATGACAACAGCTTCTTTTGATGCGGAGGCCACAAAAGAGCGTCTATTGACCGAGGAAGACGAAAACCTCCGCACGGAAGCTATCAAACTACTGGCCGCCAAGCTCTCCAGATTCAGGAAGCTCAGCCCTCCTCACGCCGCGATTATGCAACGTCAGCCCGATGTCTTTGCTAAACAGTGGGAGTCCGACATATGGCGCCGATCAATGCAAAGCTCCGATAAGAAGAGATACGAGGACGAAGTCAGATCGACTTTGCGACTCCTCACCAAGTGCGACAAGAAGTGGTCTGAGGCTTGGCCGGTCGATGATGGAAGCTATTGGACAGGTGAAGAATGGTTCATTTGGGAGATGGACAAATTGAACTACGACATGCTGGAGAGCGAGAGCATCGCATCTGGGCCGCATTCTGCGGACACTACAGCCAGCCTCGGCTATGTGTGTACTCAATCCGACTCAGCCACCGAAGCCACCGAGGCCATACTCAATGCGGACAACCACCAAGAAGGCCTCTCACCAGAGATGCAGCTGCGCAAAGACAACCGTCGGGGCTTCCGAAGCCATATCCGAGGCATCTGTGAGTTACTGAGATCCGCGAATCATACGCCGGACCTTGACGTCGTCGCGCTTGCGTCATCTTGGGAGACCGAAATTTGGACTTCGTCGCTTGAGCACGAAGACTGCAACACTTCATATAAAGAGGATATCGATGAGGCACTGGAAGACTTAGATGACTGGAAAACGTACTGGAATTCGTCTGAAAGCGACCCTGAAGGTAGTCGAACCGGTCGGCAGCTCTTCCTCGACTACATTCACCAGCTTCAGGCGCACAATGCTTTGTCTAACGGACAGATTGAATCCCCGAAAGGAGTCAAAGCATCGACAGAGCCTTCCCATCCTCATGAGGACGGTGAAGATGCTTGCTTCTCCATCGAGACCGACGATAGTGATGGTGGTGTCGACATTGGCTCAGACGACGAGTCCGGGGATGACCAGACCGACACGCAGTACGTCCCTAACGACACCTCTCAAGACCATGGCCTTGATTCAAATACTGCAGACGAGCTCTGGGAACTTGCTTGGGGTAACGAAGAGCTGTCAGATATTTATGCAGACGACGCTGGAGACAACGACGTATCTGACAGGTCTTCCGAAAGCGACGATTCTGAGATCATATCGCCTCGCTCGCCACAGCCTTACGAAAGCGATGATGAGGATGAAAGCGAAAACACCATGGATGGTGTCAGTTCTCACCCCAGTTCCCCCACCGTAGCATCTCCGGTATCGTCGGCTTTTACTTTCACCTTCAATTCTCCTCAAAGCAGCGTCGCTGTACCTATCATCCCGTCCGGCTTCGACCCTGAAAACTGGACCGGAGCATTCGATTTCACGGCCCCCCTAGGCGACAACATGATCCTGAACGGGCCTCTTTCGGTTGGTGACGATGTCGCCAGTCAGACTTCAGAGGCTCAAGACCTCAAAATCTCTGAGCAGATTGATGAGGTTGCCGCCGGCAATAGCTTGGAGCCTACCACATCTTCCTTCGATGACGACGACGTAGTCGCCACGACCGGTCAAGAACACACAGTGCAGGATGCTCCCTTGGCCGCCCCAAAGGAGCATGAGACGGAAAGGCCGCAAAAGGCCGTATCAGCAGACTGCTCTGGCAAGATCAGGGAACGGACTACCGCCATCAATGCATGCGAGGCCGAATGGCTGAACGCAAATGCAGGCAACTGCGCTCCTTCCGCTTTCGTCGAGCTCGCCTCCAATCTCGATAGCATTGGTGCCAAGATCACTAATAAGGGTGATTTCTCTTGCCTCTTAGCATTGAGCAAGATCAAGGCGCTGTTCGCTAAATGGCAAGCTTTTGTCAACACCATGAAAGCCTTCATCGGCATCAAAGACTACTTCCATTCCGGCAACGAATTCCGTTTCAATCGACTCGTCATGCTATATCGCTCAGATGTCGAGATGATCTCCACGTACGAAACCTTCAGTCGCTTGCCAGGCGCTCAAGGGTACTGGTTGAGCGAGGCAAACAAGCGACGAGAGAGCAGAGACGATAATCTGAAGAGCATTAACGAGGAGATTGCAAAGATGTTTGGTCTTCGCCAAGCCTACCGCCATGAGCTTGAGATGCTGAACGGGCAAGTAGACGACAAAGCGTTCAAGGAGTTTGGCAAGATGACCCTGAACATGGTTCACGAACGCATCTTGGAGGCGAATGCGGCTTTAGGCCTGGAGGACTTGTAGATACCTCTCAAAATCCTCAATCCGTTATCTAGATATACTCAGTATACCAATCAAGTCTCAAACCACTCCAACTCGTCCTCCTTTCCAAACACCGCTCTATAAACCCTATCTCCATCCTCCTTGATTACCTCCTCCGTATGTATACTGTGCAAACTATACTCCCTCTCGTCAAGACTACTTCCATCCGTCCCGTCCTTCGCAGACCCAAAGATGCGAATGTGAATGTATCCGTTGTCTAGAGCGGGCAGTTTGACCTTGCCGAAAAGATGCAGTCCGTATGCTGTTACGGCTACACGAACGGATTCGAGGTCGTCGGCGGTGAAGGATGCGAGATCGCTGCCGGAGAGGTGCGAGACGGCGCAGAAGTATTCGGGCTCGTGCTCTAGAGGGGTCGTTAGAGGAATGAGGGGAGTCGATGGGACAGGGTGGGTTTACTGTCATGATCGCGACGTAGTTTGATGAGTTCGCTTTTCACGGTGTCGAGGATGGAGGTGAATGCTTCGAGGGATGCTTGTTGGGGTGCGTGTGCGGCGCTGAGGTCGACGGTGTCTTCTGTTGCCATTGTGAATGCTGTGTTGGTTGTGCAGAATAAGAGCTATGTGTTGATAGGTGCGAAAGGTTAGCAAACGATCTGGTATGCTACAGCTCTATATGCTGTATATAGATTGTGCCATGTGCCATGACGTGGACTGATCAAGGATGCGATGTTGGATGAGGCGTGTCGCGTCTCAGCGAGTGGGCACCGAGCGCGCCTAGCCTGGAAAACCGGGCAGTTGAGCGAGGAAACTTGGTCTCACGGCTTCCAAATCTTGAGAAACACCGAGAGCTCGGACAGGACAACTACGCATGCCGATAATCTGTAGTTTGAACAATGGTGAGACGTGTAGGACTCAAAGGCGTGTGGTAAGTGCCAGAGTCCTAGACAGTCGATAGCTCGTGGACCCTTGGACCCTGGGGAGCTTAAATGACTAATCACGCACTAGCGCACCTCCGCAGCTTCCCCGCTTTGTTCTTCAGCAATCTGGGACAGACTACCATCCAACGTAACTATGCGTCGGAAAGCAGTCGTCTACTGATCCGTCCTTCCATGTCTCACGGTCACCTTGAGCGATTGAACAGGTGGATACAGCAATGAGAACATAATACGTGCGATGCGACAACAGCCCGAGAGAAGCAAAAGTAATACATGCTCTGGAGGTATGGGCCGTAATAGACGCATCAGTACAATTGTATCCTAGAGATACACACATGGACTCGTCTGGAAGTCCATCGTTGCTTGTAGTTGGAAAGTCCTCACGCTGTAGGTCTTATTTCCCTTTCCATCGGAAAAGCCCCTTCTGCAAGAAGCGAGGGCAAATCGGCCCATGGCATTCTGCGCTTACCTGCATGGCAACATTGAGTACCAGTCACTCTGGCGTCTAAGGCGTGTAAACGCGCCCTTCGCAAGACATCCATAAGCTTGCCCGCGTCTGCCCTCGTGTTGCAACGCCAGGTTAACAGCATCAACATGTCTACTACTACCATCACAGAAGACCGCATCGAGCTCACTCACTTCCATAACACTCCGCAACCCCCGTCAAACAAGACCTTCACTCCAACTTCCAGACCGCCATCTTTGACTCACATCCATGACGACACACCAGACAACGCAGCCTACTCCGTCACAGCAGTCCCAGACGGCGGATACGGATGGATAGTAGTCGCAGGCTCCTCAACAACAAGTTTTTGCAACAACGCCATCATAAACTGCTGGGGCGTCTTACAAGCCGCATTACTCGACTCAACGTTGAAAGATGTCCCTCCATCGACGCTCTCCTACGTCGGTTCCCTGGGTCTCGCAGGCGGCGCTTTGTACGGACTAGGAGCTGTTCGTTTGATAAGACTGATGGGCGGTCGGACAACGATCCTCCTCGGTGTTTTCCTCATGGGCTTGGGGTTGATCGGAGCAAGCTTCTGCACGTCTAATCTCCCCGGCCTGTTCGGCACGTATAGCATCATCTGCGGTATGGGGATGTCGCTCAATTGGACTGTCAACAATACCGTTCCCATTCAGTACTTCAGCGCTCGCCTCGGTCTCGCAAACGGTCTTATCAAGTTAGGTGGCGGAGTAGGTGGCTGCGTCATGGCTGTTGCATTGAACGCCCTGTACGAGAAAGTCGGGATCGAGTGGACTTTCCGCATACAAGGCCTACTTACCTGGGCTATAGGTCTTCCGGCTGCGTGGATGGTAAAGGATCGTGTGCCGCTCAGGAACATACCCTTTGTCGATCTCTCCATGTTCCGGTCTCTGACCTTCATCGCTACGTTCGTCGCCAGCGCTATTGGTGTCTTTGCACTGTTCGTCCCGCCGTACTATCTTCCATTGTTCGCGCAGTCAATTGGACTCAGTTCTAGTACTGGTGCTGCGCTCGTCGCTGCATTCAACGCCTGCAATGCCATCGGCCGTTTCATCGCAGGTCCACTGTGCGATAAGTTTGGCCCACTCAATACCTTCGTCATCGTCATGGTTCTCAACGCCGCGAGCATGCTGGCGATCTGGCCGGTCTCGAATACCCTTGGTCCACTCGTACTCTTCGCAATCCTGAACGGTGTTGCAAACGGCGCGTACTTTACCACCCAGCCAACGGTAGTCGCTGGTATCTTTGGCCCTGGAAGAGCTGCCGTCGCTATGAGTATGTCGGTCACTGGTTGGAGCGTGGGGTATCTGATGGGTGCACCAATCGCTGGTTACTTGTTAGAGGCCGCTGGCGGTAGACAAGGTGCCGCATCGGGTCAGAACATTGACGTATATCGCCCTGCTATCTTCTACGCTGGTGGAACGGCCACTGTATCGGCACTGTGCGTTCTCATTGCGAGGCTCACAGTTACGGGAAAATTGCGCAAGAGGGTCTGAGTACCATGTACTGGGTAGATGAAAGAGCATCGGTAACCTTCTGCAGGCGTGATTGATCATTCTGGCGGACAGACCTTACCTCTGGAGCTTGATCAAATCTATATCGTAGGAGAAGGCACCCTCACGTACCCAATAACAATATGAACATCCCCCACCCCTAAGTTCTCCCTCTCTTCCCTACTTGCGAACCTCTCCAACTCCATCTCGTCCCGACCCTTCTCTTCAAACCCCAACCGCTCATACAGCCCCCTCGCCTTGTTCTCCTCCCCCGTCTCCAGATAAACTACCAAACTGTCCTTGTCCGCCTCTTCAAATAAATGCCGTATAAGCTGTGCCGCTAACCCTCTCCCCCGATGCCCCGGGTGTGTCGCCAAATTATCAATCAGGAAATGAAGGTCGCCTTGTACTATCCGTTCGCGTAGAGTATCGAGTCGCGTTCTAAACTCCAAGATGAGAGCGTGGTTGCAAGTTGGTGGGAGGGAGTTGAGGTAGACTTCGTTCTCAAACGCTTCTCTCTCTTCTCTTTCTGACGATGTTTCTGTTTCTTCTCCATCCTTTTTATTCTTGTCTTGGATGCAAGTAGAGGGAACACCCCACTGCGCGACACTGACGATATCCCCACTTTCCTGCTCACGCGCAACCATAAACGTCCTACGTCCTTCTTCTAGCTGCTGCGCGATATGAGGTGTCATCGCTTTGCCCAAGTCTGGAACGTTCCCGAATTGGAGGCGCGTGAAGGGGTCTTGCCATGTCAGTGCGAGGAGGGAGGATATGGCATGGGCGTCTGAGGGGAGGGCGCTCGAGATTGTGTATGAGGGAGCCATTGTGAGTGAATGTTGTTGGATGTGGATGTTGATGTTGAGATGTGGATTGGGGATTGGGTGGAAGGTGAGGGATGGATGGATAGATGTTCGGCGTGCCAAGATATTGGTCGGTGCTCGGAGCAGGAGCGGAGTTCGATGTTTACTTCAACGGTTTGGGTAGGAACGACCTCGAGAAGACAGGATGTGACGATGAACGCAAGTCAAGAACGAAGCACCGCATAAAGTCTTTTGAGAACTTCAAACAATCGTATTTCAACACCTACACCCTCTCAACTCAACAATCTGAAGGTACCAACGACTCAGTCCTACACCTCAGACCAAGCCGTCCAAAAAAAAAGGCGGACAAAAAAAGTTCAAATTCTCAAGAAACTGAAAGCATTCATTACATCATTCAATCATACCACAACCCAAGCCCACCCACCCTATAGTCTTCAAGTCGAAGAAGGAAGTAGAGAAAAAAGATGAGCCGGCACCGCCTACGAAGCAGCTAAAGAAAACCGGAAGCTCGTGGTATAGATAAACATGTCTTTCAGAGTATAACAAGCGCAGCACGACATCTCCCTCGTCGTTATGAAGAACAAACGCACGCAGACAGAACCAGCTGATTTCCTCCAACCAGCTCTGAATCCCGCAAATGTGTGTTAGGGTAGGATGATGCGATAGTGTCGTTCGTTCGATCGGTAGAAGAGAGAAGAGCAAAAAGAGGTATTTGTGAAGCCAGCCTCCCTCCACATACAGACACAAACCCAAATTTCGCCGGGGCAAGAAGGGTATGTTTGCCCCTAGGATATATCATGGAACGGGAAGAGAGAGTAAAAGAGCAAGCGGTGTATGCCGAGCACGCCGTAAAAGAACGCCTGAAACAATGCCCCAAATGGTGTAGTAGCGCCCCGTGATGCCGAAACGCAGTGTAATAACAGAATTTACCGTTGGCAGAACAGCTCAATCTCGCCGAGGCCGCCGCCGGGGTTGAGATTGCTTTGCTGTTCTTTCCAGTTCTCAAACGCCTCTTGTACGTCGTCGTCGCATTGGATGCTGACGTATGTGTTGTCGCTGTCCAGGTACTTTAGCTTGACTTGGCCGGAGCCAAGTGAGACGGATGTCGATCGCTGGAGCTTGGCGTCGATGCGATCTTTGAGCGACTGGTAGCTGATGTTGGTGCTGACAACCAGAACCATCGAGCTTCCGGCTGATGGGCAGTGCACCTTGACTTTGAGTTGTGTCGGTATGCTCGAGTCTTGGCCAAGCGGTGGCGACATGTTTCGTGAATCCATAGATGCTGG